CTGATTCTGACTTCTCTTTTATAACCAAACTTTGAATTTGAAAACGATAAATTGGGGTCTTTCCATATACATAAAAACTGTAGGCCTATTTCTTATCATTCTAGCCATATAAATTAATCTGAAATCCAAAATCTATAGCTCTAGATATGATCCAATAACTGAACAATGTTCAAATTTAAATTAAATCGACATCTCTTTTTTAAACTTAACCTTTTCTTTATCTTTTCACTTCCAATAGTTAATCATAACAATCAATCCTTTGAAATGTGAGAATATCTGTATTTACCATAAATTAAAGGTATCTTATATTATCAGACTTTTTATTATAAAACATGCTTTAGTTAAGGAGTTATTGATACTTTAAATGCAAAATGATAATATAAAACCTTAATAAAAATGCACTTTTAAGTATTAATCACCTCTAAATACTTAAAACATTTAATATCATGATTATGAGTAGGTTAAATATCAAATTTACTTTTAAAATTAGCAATAAGATTTTTTTATAGCCTCAAAAGATTTAACCTTATAATTGACTTGGTTTGTGTAGCTTATCTCTCTCTAATAATTTAGCTTTTATAATGAGAAAGAATTCGAGTTACTTATTTGTCATCTATTATTCTTATATTTTTGTTACTTTTCAACCTTTATAACTATATATACAATATTTTCTAACTCAATATAATATTTTAATTCTACTTTATCACAATATCGTGATTCAATCCATTTAGAAATTTTGTTGGAATAATAATCTTAGGATTGCCGTCGTATTTTAGTTTAATACAAGATGCATGTGGAATTAAGAGAAACCTGTTCTAATAAAGTAGAATTATTAGCCTGCTACAGTCATTCCAACATAAAGAACTATGCTATAATTTTATTCAAAACACAGGGAATAAAGCTTGACCATGGGCTGTGGTACAGAATTGTGGGCTTTTGGGTAATGGCATTTTAGCTTAGGTATTGGAGAATTAAAGGGTGATATTACCGGCCAGCCTGCTAGCTGCGAGAAATTGTATATATCTCTATGTGCAAACCACTGATTAAACCCTAAAAGAGAAAGCAAAGCCATCTGCAATGGCAGACCTTCTTGTAGAACAACCCCGAGAAATCACCATATCTAAAACCTTCCCTGCAAAACCAAAGCTAAAACCCAAAGCTAAAACCCCATCGAAAACCCCTGAATCCAAATACTGGTCCTCCTTCAAATCCCACCAAATTTCAAACCTCATCTCCTCCATCCCTTCCATTGATTTCTCACCCATATCCCCACATCAATTTGCCGCCACCAATTCCGCCTCCCTCACTCTCTTTTCCTCCCAAACACTCTCTCCCACATCCACCATTTCCTTCTCCGATGTTGTCACCTCCTGCTCTTTCCGCTGCGACGGCTCCCTGATCGCTGCCTCCGATCTCTCCGGCCTTATTCGGGTATTCGATGTGAAGACACGAACCCCTCTTCGTCGCCTGAAGTCCCACGTGCGCCCTGTTCGTTTTGTTAAGTACCCGTTACTCGATAAACTACATTTGGTGTCTGGTGGTGATGATTCTGTTGTTAAATACTGGGATGTTGCTGGAGAGAGTGTGGTTTCGGACTTGTATGGTCACAGGGACTATGCGAGGTGTGGTGATTGCTCTCCGATTAATGGAGAGATATTTGTTACTGGGTCTTATGATCACACGGTAAAGCTGTGGGATGTGAGGGTTGATAGTAAGGAATCAGTTATCGAAGTGAATCATGGAAAGCCAGTTGAGGATGTGATTTTTTTGCCCTCAGGCGGAATGGTTGCGACTGCAGGAGGGAATAGTTTGAAGATATGGGATTTGATTGGAGGAGGGAAGATGCTTTATTCGATGGAGAGTCATAACAAGACTGTTACTTCTATTTGTGTAGGGAAAGTAGGGAAAGAGAGTGGAGAGGAGGCTTTGCAGTATAGGATTTTGAGTGTGGCTTTAGATGGCTATATGAAGGTTTTTGATTATGCAAAAATGAAGGTTACTCATTCCATGAGGTTTCCTGCCCCGCTTATGTCCATTGGGTTTTCTCCGGATTGTATGACTAGAGTCATTGGGTCTTCCAATGGGATTATATTTGCTGGGAGGAGAAAAGGAAAGGAGGATGTGGGAGAGAGTAAATCAGGGAATTTTTGGGCTCTAGGCAGTGTAGAGGAACCACAGAGGCGGGCTTTGAGGCCAACATATTTTAGGTATTTTCATAGGAGTCAAGGTGAGAAGCCAAATGAGGGGGATCATTTGATAATGAGGCCAAAGAAGGTGAAATTGTCGGAGCATGATAAGTTGTTGAAGAAGTTTAGGCATAAAGAAGCGCTGGTCTCAGTTTTGAGTGGGAAGAATCCAGAGAATGTGGTGGCTGTGATGGAGGAAATGGTGGCAAGGAGGAAGTTATTGAAATGTGTTGTGAATTTGGATGAGGAGGAGCTTGGGTTGTTGTTGGGTTTCTTGCATAAGCACTCAACTATGCCAAGGCATTCAGGTTTATTGATGGGGTTGACTAAAAAGGTACTTGAAATGCGGGCTGATGATATTAGAGCTTCTGATGCTTTGAAAAGTCATATTAGAAACCTTAAAAGGTCAGTTGAAGAGGAGATCAGAATTCAACATTCACTACAAGAGATACAGGGTATAATTTCTCCTTTATTGAGAATTGCCGGGAGAAGATAGAACTTAAATTGGGTTATCTTTAGTGTTGTGATATTGCTGACACCTTGGCTTGGGTTGTCATTAGAGAAGTTTTGTAATTTTGCGCCATTTATGTTCTTATTCAAAAAATTCTTCTCAAATTTTCAAATTAGCACCCTTGTTTTAATGGCGATGGTGTTCTTGCTCTGATTGTAACTGCAACACGAGATGGTGTTTATCCATTTTGTATTGAATGTCTTTCCCGCTACATATCTGCAGGAGAGGTGACGAAAAAACTGTGTTTCATTCTAAATTTAATATTGAAGGTTCTTTCAGTCATGGAACTACCTCAATCTGTATCATGGTGCTCGCAACGTTTTTGTTTGGTTATGAACCTCTGTTGTTTTGCATGTCTTGGTTTGCAGTTTATGACTGCAATAATTTTTCAGTGTGCTTTTTTAATATATATATTTGTTTTTGGCAATAACGTGATTTCATGGCATCCCTCGCAACCCTAATGAATTTGGCAGAGAAGAAATGCCTCACATTCTGATGTTTGTGTTTGTTGTGGTGCCTGCATAAGAACCAACAGGTGTATGCTCCTCAACGTGGGTACTATTTTGCTTCTGTACAGGTTGCGTCGTTGCTTGTCCTTGGCTTTAGTTTGGTAACTGCTTTGCTTAGTCTTGGCACCTGATGACCGATTCTGTCTGATACTAAAGTTGCTGGTCTTTTGCTGGCCATGTTTCGGTTTAATGGTTTATGCTTTGGTCTTCGCAGCCTCGCTGTCAAGAAATGCATCGCATTGCAGGTTCATGATCTTTTCAGCTTTGTTTCTCAAGTTTTAGGGATGCTAATGTTTAAGAGGGGAATAGAAGCCAGAAGTAAAATGAGAATGAAATTGACCATCTTTGATAACCATGAACCACAAGAATGTTACTGGCGTTTTTGCTGTTAATGATCCTGCCGCTGGCCTTCCTGTTGGATGCGTGGAGAAGAATAAACAGATTACAAATTGTGTTTTTCCTGCTTGGAGCTTAAAAAAGTAAGAATTAAGCTGCGCCTAGCCGAGCATAATGCATTTCGCACCTGATATTCTAGAAAGCAGAAACAACTCTGCTTCTTCTCTGGCCTCCGTTTGCGTTTCTTGAAATTTTCAATCACCTGAGCTTGAAAGATGTCCTAAGCAAATGCATCAAAGGAGGCTCTTCCTCTTCCTCCTCATCTCGCTTCTCTTCATCTTGAGCATCCTATACATCTGATTCACTAATCGAATCCTCTTCTTCACTTAAAAGTTCTCATCGTACAATCTCTTTTCCTCTATATTATGGCACTTCCTTGGACTACCCAGAGTCTCGAAGCAGTCCTGTCTTTCTCCTATGCAGACCTAAGCAAATGTTCTATTGTTCTTAGACATTCTCAACATGGGGGAAAAAAAACAAAATCAAACTCGAAGCAGACCCAAGAGGTTAAAAAACCACCGAGCATTGAAAACCAGCCCTGGTAATTTTCACTCGGGACATTCAATCAATAAAAGTGGACTGCTTTAACGAACGACGCTAGCTCCAATGCTAATGCAATCGATTTCAACCATCAGCGAATGAAAGAAGAACGGATATCAAGCTATTGTAGCAAGAACAAAGAAAAACGCACGAGGAAAGTTGGATTTATCAAACTAGGAAAAATTTTAAGCCAAGAATTCAATGGAAAGGAACGAAGGGCAATTGCATGTAATAGAACAACCGCGAATGTGAAGGTTTGAAATTTTGAGTTCAAAACAATCACTTGGTGCAAGTAATCTGAAGGGCAAGGCTGTCTCCAAATTATCCGTCCTTGGATCCCATAGTGACCATAAGCAAGTAATTGGTATTTCTTGGAAAAAATCTGGCGCCTCACCAGGATTTCTTTTCTTCCATGGTAATCACTAACTCAAAAATTTCAAAATGTACCACCATCATTGTTAGGATTAGAAGATTTATTAATAGTATTTCAAACAAGTATAGTATAATTTTTTTTATTACTCAATTGAAAACCACAAAAAAAAATACAAACAAGTATAATATAATTTTTTTTATTATTCAATTAAAAATCATAAAAAAAAATTCCAATCGAATTATAAATAGTTAACATGATTGTCGCACGTGTGGTATATTTCTAATGATGCTAACGATGGGATGTGGTGTATTTCTAGCAAGATATGAAGAGACAAGGAATTCTTGTCTCTTATCAGTGAAAACATTGAATGAGAGTCGCCACCTAATATTCTGGTAACTAGGAACCCTAACTGGTCTTTAGAGATCGGGTACGGAGATTGGTTGCGTAAAGAGAAGGTCTTAGCACCCCGACTACGCCCTACCTAAGGTAGGCTGCATTGTTTTGTCTGATAAAATATGAAATCATGTAGTGGTATCTAATTATATGTGTATCTAAAACCAAAGAAAGTTTTAAAATCAAGAATACGTGTTACGTATAACCTCATAATCCCTGATACTAAACAAAACAAAAAAACATTTCTTGTTGTTTTTGATATTTTGGCCAATGTTCTCCTGACTTTAATAAACTGGTTATAACAAACAAGGGATTAATGAAAGCAAAACTTAAACATTATAAAAATATAAAGAAAAAGAGCAAGAATATGATCTTGATCTGAAAACGAAGATGCTTCGTATAGGCCAAAATTGGGAGCTATTGATTTATTGACTAATTGTTAGTGGGTAACCACATCTTGACTTGTTACAATCCTTATCTTCTTGTTTGAATAAAATGTCATTGTTAACATCAGAATTTGAATAGACTTCACTATGAAAGTTCTAGAAAATTGTCTCAGCTTTCCTACAAAAAAAAAAAATTAAGGTCATATGGACTTCTAGAACTCAATATATGGGCTGAATACTAAACAGTGTCTGAGCTGCAGGACAAATTCCAACTTCTCTGTTGCTGCTAAGCTAAACAGTGTCTGAGCTGCAGGACAAATTTCAATTTCTCCGTTGCTGCTAAGTTTGGATTTCCAAACAGCAAAATTGAGTTTACATTCTTTATAAATGTTTTAGGCCTATGTATTAGTTTTCCATCCATATAGAGTAGACCTAAATCCAAATCCTACAGCTCCAAATATGACCCAATAATTAAATCCAAATCCTACAGCTCCAAATATGACCCAATGATTGAATAATGTTCCAATTTGAACTGAACCAGCATCTCTTTTTTAAGTTTCACTTTCTCATTTTCTTCTCAATTTCAGTAGTTGAACTCATCAATCAATCCTTTGATTTATATGATAGGTTTGCATTTAAGATGAACATTTACCACAAATTAAAGGTATATTATAGTATTAGACTTGCTGTTATAAAACATCTTTTAGTTAAGAAGTTCTTGATGCTTCAAGTGCAAAATGCTGATATAAAACATTAATAAAATTGTATTTTAAGTATTAATCAACTAGGCTAAGCCCATTTTGATTTCTATCTCTAGGCTAGGGTTTCAGGCTAAGAGGCCTAACCTATATGACTAGGTTGAGCTTGTTCTAACCATAAAGACATGTTTGGTTAGTCAAGTTTTTACCAAATGAAAAAGCTTTTTTTTGTTCTTAAGACGTGTTTATCAAACACAATCTTAAGATAATTTTTATGTCTTTGATTTTTAGTTAGGGGAGTGTTGTGACAAACATATAAATATTGAATATAATATGAATTATATGAAGGTATTTAAGTAATCCAGAGAGAATTCATCACCCTAGATGAATTAAGAAAAATGTTCTATTTGTTCTCAAATAGTATTAATTGCAAGTCTTTGCATAAGATGAAATGAGATTTGAAAAGAGTTTTAAATCTTATTTAAAAAATCAATGATTAAGGTGTTGATAATAAATAGGATTTGACAAATTAGATACAATTCATATATTGTCTAAATCAGAATCAAAATATTATTGTTGAATGGATAATAATTACATTGAGAAACTGGTTAGTGAAATGTTAGGTCAAACCATTATGACTTTCCTAATATTTAAGAGATCATGACAAATTATTAGATATTAAACTTGGTCTTCAAATATAAATCAATCAATTATTTAATTCATAATAAATTAATTTGTTTAATTAATTTATGATTGTGATTTATATTTTGACCAACTTATTAGGGAACCTAGTGAGTTACACATATAAGAAACATTTGTCAAAAATTAAAATGAGATAATTAATTGAGTGTGATTTGATCATAAATAATTTAGAAATTAAAGACTAGAATGCAATTTATATAGAGAATTACAATTCTAGACCTAAAAAAATCATGTAGAAATTTGATTGAATAAATTTTTAAAATTATCCTAAAATAATATATATGATATTGATATTTTGCTATTTATAGGATTTTCAGGTTTCCCTATAAAAAAAATGCTATGTCTTTTATTTTTAGAGTAGTGCATAGTACAATACTAAATACCTAAAAACACAAAAGAAAAGAGCTAACACTTAAAGATATTGCAATCTCTTTTTTTCTAAATGGGTTTAAAATATTTCTCACAAGTGGTTTGTGTGAGTTACTATTAAAGGCTGAATACTTGGACAACTTGTGGTTTGCGATAAATCAATATTAAAGTAATTATTCAAAATAAAAAAGAAAATCTAATCTTCAAATAATTTTGTATAAATCCTAAACAAATCTAAATCTATTTAACAAGATCTTGAAACTCCTGAAAAAATTGAAATTTACCGTTTTCACTAGGTTTATGTTTTTCATTAAATTTAATAGAAACAATATTTATTTCTCTTCTTAATGTACTCTTTGTTTGTGACATCTTTTTTTTTTTTTATCTCATCTATTTGATGAATAATAGAGATAATCATGGGAGGACAAAAAACAAAGTGATTATACGATATGAAAATATGTATAGACTGTGTTTTTATGCATAAATGTTAACTTTAACGTAAGAAACCTAGTCCTTTAATAATTGCCTCTTAAAGATGCCTTGTTTTGGATTAATAATAAGTAATTAATATATATGAAACACTTAGCAAAGCTAAGAGTATGTAAGAACCAAGTCACTTGAAATATTTAATTGTCGTTCATAAAGTTCTAAAAACCTTTGTAAAACATATACATCTAAGCAATATCTTAAGAATTTAAACTTTATTGAAGAAAATTTTGTCTTTCTTAACAAACACTAACATGACTAAAAGATTGATATTTTCTCTCAATTATAAGAATGTCAAAGTAATAAATAATTTGGCAAGACTAGGGTTGAACCATAAGGAAGTTAATAATAATAATAATAATAAT